CTGTAGGAGGAATTTGAGTACTCCCGGATCTGTTTTGTATGGGAGTCTGGAATAGCCTGCGCTGATACGCTGTTGTTCGCGCTGAGGAGAAATTATCTAAACGGCTTGAAACAACGTTCTGCGCGTTTGACAAATTTGTTTGAGTGGTTTGAACACTCGTTAAAGTTTGCTCGATTGAGTTTAACCTTTCACCAAAAGTGGCATTGGCACTAGCGAGTATACCCATCTGATTGGTCAGATCGGTGGTTGACTGAGTAAGCAAGGCAATTGCATTGCTCAAAGCTTGCTGATCAGCAATAGTTTCTTGGTTTGAAAAAAAGAGAGATTTTGAGATTAAAGAGTTTTGCGGTAACTCCCCACAGGCGGCGCCAAAATGTGGATGTAGGATTCACACTCGATTGTCTTTAAGTATTTTTGTGGAGATAAACTCTAAAATCAACAAATGAAAATAAGGATTTGAAAAGGAAAGTAACCAAGAAACTAAATAAAGCGAAAGAGTTTGGAAAGAATAAAATAGTAAAAAGCCTTGCGAAATTGTAAAAGAAAATAGTATGTTGTATTGCTTGATCGTAAGAGATAAAAGGTTATTCTCCCTCAAACACATGCGTTTGAGGTTGTTTTTATAGAGAAAATATGATCAATGCGGTCATTTACTGCTCATAATCGCATTGATCCGCATTAATTATGTAGGTTACAATTTGACCGAAACGGCTTGAATTTGAACTATCTTGGGCTTCGCGTGGATCTTCCGAACTCTTTCTTGTTGACTCCGAACTCCTACGTCTTGACGCTGCCGCGAACCTCGAACAATATTCTCCTCACTTTGGCCTTCTTTTATGCGAACTATATGTTGAATAAGAGCGAACTCCGTACTGATAAAGATCGAGCTCTTTAGTAAACTGAATCGAACTTCCGACAGGTCGAGCTCGATTCTCGCAATGAAACATCTAGAAATCCAAGAGGATTATTATGTAATAATGACGTGGACAGATCCAAGTGGATCCTACCGAAGATGTGTGGGATCCGACCCCAACAGCTATTTCTGGCAAAAAGAGGGGCTAAAATTTTCTTTGTTTTGCGTTCTGACAAGAAATAATAAAAAACTAAATATAGTTCAGATCTCTGTCTCTCAGCCAATTATCTCTTTAATAAATGCTCATTATTGAGATTTAAAATTATCTACATTCATCGGAAGAGTGTATAACTCATTATAATTTCAATGTGGCCAAGATGGAAACAAAATTGTGACAATATGAGATAGTGTATATCCACATTATGTAACTTTACTTGATAATATGAGAAATCCTCAAAACAAAAAGACAAATTCAGAAGAAATTAGGGAATATGGACTAAATAACCTAAGATTAAAAAAGAATTAAGAAAATAATATTATCTAAACAATGTCTATTTGATATATGGTTTTTGTCAATTTTTTCCCAATATTACTCATGTGTTCTTCGTTGTCTCTTTTTTCTTTCCTCTCGCCGGCGAGAAGTCTGAAATCTCTCTTTTTCTCTCATTAGATTTATCTTATTTTTGGTTGATCTCCTGTTTCTTTTTCTTTCTCTCCATCTCGTTAGATTTATTCACCACCATATTTTTTTTTTTTTCTATATCACTATTTCTCTTATTCGTCGGGCATCACCACCGAGTCTCACTACTCCGATCCACCAAGCCACCACCACAACTGAATCTCACAACTATCACAATCAATACTAAATCTTGCTAATTCCAACCCACCACCTTCATCAATATTTACCACCACCATCACCAAGCTTGAAACACCGTCACCAACACCAACACCACCGTTACCGCATCTTTCCCTTTTTCCACAACTGCTCTTATTTCTCCACCTTCTTTATCTCCTCTGACATCGGGTCGAGCTTTTTCGACAACAATTATATTTTGGGTCCATCGCCTTCATAATTCTTAATTTGTCTCCATCGCCATTTATTCTTAATTTGTCTATCGATCTATTTGTTTATCTATAGAAGTGAGTATTTAGAATCCTTTTTCTTCTACGATTAATAATTGATTATAAAATTTCTTTAGTTATCATATTATACAATAAGATTGTATAATATCACAAATCTTTTTTAATAATCTTTTTTTTAGAATTAGTAGCTTTAAATTAGAATTAGTAACTAATTTTTTAATTTTTAATTTTATTTAATAAGATAGATATAGTTTCCTTATAATTATATCTTCTTTACTTTTAATTTTTTTTTATAAGATATATATGTATAGTTGCCTTAATTTTTTTTTCTTAAATTTCTATTTTTGTTTCATAAGATTCATCTAGTTTCCTTATATTTATCTTCTTTAAATTTTTAGATTTTCTTATATAAGATATATATGTATTATTTCCTTATAACTTATTTTTGGTTTTACACGTTGATAAATTTGACATGTGCGTATAGTTTCCTTATATTATTTCAAAAATAAATAAAAGGAAATTTTTGTTTTACACATGTCAAAATATGAGTTCGATAGATTTGACACGTGTCACGATCCTATGAGTTATTAACTTTGAAAACTATGATATTCATCAGAATGGACTCTTTTGAATTTAATTTAAAATGTTGAAAAATAAAATGTAACCGATAGTTTATACACAGTTAATTGTAAAAGACATAAACATTTTCAATGTCTATTTCGTTTAAGCGATATAACATAAATTAATTATAAATTTATATTTGTGTGTAGGCTTGATATGTCTGTCTTCTAATATGTAGAGGATGCGTTGCATCACGAGGAAGCCGTAAGCGGTGCACTAGAAGAGATGAATGTAGTGTAGTGGTAAAACTAGGATATCAAGAACCGAAACTGTTTATTTATTTATTTATCCACTCAAAGTAAAATCTGAATATGAATGTGATAGCCAGAGATAGGCATGACCACGGTTACGGTTATTGCGGTTACGGTTTATTAACCACCGGTTACGGTTATAAATTTTCTCTAGCCGTAACCTTAACCACTATATATACGGTTAAAACGGTTAAAGTTAAATACGTTTACAATAATTTAATTATTACGATACGGTTAATATCAAAGACAAAAGCTTGGAATTTTTTTAACCTTTAGAATAAAAAATTTAACAAAAATATATCAAATAATTTTTATTTTATAGTATGTAATATATGTGATTATATGCTTATAATATTTATAGTTAATTAGATATTTTTTTTTAGTTAAGTAAACCAACGAATAACTAAATAAATGGACATAATTATAATGATTGAGTTATTGTCTTATTCCAAACAATACTATAGAAAAGAAGTTGTGAGAATTAAGAAACGAGTACCTGAATATAAATAATAACTATCTAAACTATTTATGATTTGATTTATGAAAAAGAAGTAGTGGAGTAGTGAAGTTCATTAAATTTAATAGTGGAATAATTATGTATTTAAAGTTTTAACTGCACGGTTAATTATGCGGTTAACTGTGTGATTAACCGTACGGTTAACTAACGGTTTTGATACATTTACGGTTAATTAACGGTTACGGTTAGTATATTTTTTAACCGTAACTAATCTTTTTTTACGGTTAACGGTTACGGTGTTTAACCGTTTTATACGGTTACGGTCCGGTTACGGTTGAAAAACGGTCCGGTTACGGTCCGAGATACGGTTACGGTTAGCTTTTGGTCATGCCTAGCAAGAGAGAGGGAGAAACAATTGATTCTCATAATATTAAATGCCTATTTATACTAGTATTTTCGCAACACTTTGGTGACAGGTGGGTAAAAATGTTTCTGGGTTAGTTGGATATTCGACCCGTTTCAAAAAATCATTCACAAAAAAATTTGTTGGGTCGGGTTATATTTAACCCAACTCATACACCGGATATTCCATATTTAATAATTTAGATATTTAGAAGATTTATAATTATGATTCTCATATCATCTTTGTTTGATTTGTTTTTAACTATTTTGAATCATCATATAATACATAAAGTAAAAAAAAAATCAATTTTTTTTTCTGTATATACTGTGATTCGAAATTTTAAAAACGGACATATATTATCCAATTGACAAAAATGTGTGTTCAACGTTCTACATCGATTAAAATATTTAGACAATGATTCAGAATCATATCATAAATAAGAACATTAATAAAATAAATGAGTTTTTTGGCCAGACGGGTTTGGCGGGACGGGTTTTTTAATCAACAATAATAAAAAGATTACAATATCATTAATCCGCCGCTTTAATACGGATTAAATCCTTTTTTTTGTAATACCACAAATATTAGACATATTAAATCAGTTTCATTTAGAAAAGATTGTATAAAACCAAAAATTGTCCCATGGTATAATGTTACTTAATAACAATATTTATAAAATTTTAAAATAGCATTAACATGCCGCTTTAATACATATTAAATTTTTAGTTTATTAAAATATAAATGTTTTAGAGAATGATATGATTTGTAAACTTTTATATATAATAAATAATCATTAAATTTTAAAATAAAAACAAATCATGGGACGGGTTAAGAAATTACGGAACGGGTTATATTTCGGAAAGGATTTATATGGCGGGCGAATTTGAATCAATATTTATATACCGCTTTAATACGGGTTAAATCCTCAGTTTATTAATAATTGTCTCGTGGACTCGTTGTATATCGTTACTTAATAACAATTGTAAACTATAATATAAATAAATATGTTATAAGGAGATATAATTTACAAAATATTTTTATACTAACTTTAAAACTAAATCATTCCGCGGTGTACCGCGGGTTAAAATCTAGTTGATAGAAGTATTTTAGATGTGACCTTGGGCGATGGACACGCTTAAAACCGATTATATATGAAACTTGATTGTGCGTGTCACAGAGACCAACTTATTATGATTTATGTTTTATTAAAAAGTAATGACTTCAGCTTTCAATTATTTGACGCTATTCAAAGAGAAAACATATTATATTTAGGTAATAAACAAAGCAAGATCAATGAATGGTATATATTTTTTTTAATTATAAAAGACTACTTTGTTTCATTTGCCTCTCTGCACTTTGAGCAACAATGGCATCAATGATCACCGTTGACTTTGAAAACTGCTTCATCTTCGTCCTCTTATGTCTTTTGTCACGCCTCTTTTACGATCTTTTCTTCAGGAAACCAAAAGACTCACGAGCTGGCTGTGATTTTCCTCCGAGCCCTCCATCATTACCGATCATTGGGCATCTTCACCTTATCCTCTTTGTTCCAATCCACCAGTCTTTCCAGAAAATCGCATCCAAATATGGACCTCTCCTCCACCTCCGCTTCTTTAACTTCCCCATAGTCCTTGTCTCCTCGCCCTCAATGGCCTACGAGATCTTCAAGGCCCAAGACGTGAATGTCTCCTCTCGCCCTCCCCCTCCAATCGAGGAGTCTCTCATTTTAGGATCGTCCAGCTTCATCAACACTCCCTACGGAGATTACTCGAAATTCATGAAGAAGTTCATGGTCCAAAAGTTGCTCGGACCGCAGGCACTCCAACAGTCGCGAAAGATCCGTGCAGATGAGCTGGATCGGTTCTACAAAAACCTGCTTGATAAGGCGATGAAGAAGGAGTGTGTTGAGATTCGTAATGAAGCAATGAAGCTCACTAACAACACCATCTGCAAGATGATTATGGGGAGGAGTTGTTCCGAGGAGAACGGTGAGGCTGAGACAGTCAGAGGCTTGGTAACCGAGTCGATTTTCTTGACAAAGAAACATTTCTTGGGGGCCATGTTTCACAAACCGCTTAAGAAGCTCGGGATCTCATTGTTCGCAAAGGAATTAATGAGTGTTTCCAACAAGTTTGACGAGCTGCTGGAGAAGATTCTTGTTAAACATGAAGAGAAATTGCAGGAGCATCATCAATGTACTGACATGTTGGATATGTTGTTGGAAGCGTATGGAGACGAAAAGGCAGAGTACAAGATCACTAGAGACCAAATCAAGTCCTTGTTCGTGGTAGATGTTCCTCTCATTAATTATGTGGATTCGTAAGCAAACAACATTGGTTTTCCTCACTACAAAATGTTTACTTTTGGCAGGATCTGTTCAGTGCCGGCACTGAATCCTCGGCGAACACTATACAGTGGACCATGGCGGAGATCATTAACAATCCTAAGATTTCTGAGAGACTGAGAGAAGAAATTGATTCTGTTGTAGGTAATATAAGGTTGGTTCAAGAAACTGATCTACCGAACCTCCCTTACTTGCAAGCCATAGTCAAAGAAGGGCTACGATTGCATCCTCCAGGACCTGTGGTAAGGACGTTCCAAGAAACATGTGAAATCAAAGGATTCTACATACCGGAGAAAACACGACTTTTTGTTAATATTTATGCTATAATGAGAGATCCTGATTTCTGGGAAGATCCTGAGGAGTTTAAACCAGAGAGGTTTTTAACTTCTTCAAGATTAGGGCAAGAAGATGAGAAAAGAGAGGACATGCTAAAATACATTCCTTTCGGTAGCGGAAGGAGAGCTTGTCCTGGATCACATCTAGCTTATGCCGTCGTTGGAAGTGTAATTGGAGTGATGGTGCAAAACTTTGATTGGAGAATCAAAGGAGAAAAAATCAACATGAAGGAGGGTGGAACAATGACGTTGACCATGGCTCAGCCTCTTCAGTGCACTCCTGTTCCTCGAACCCTAAACACTTAAACTTCATGTCTACAAATTCCCAATAATTCTTGAATTGGAGATGTCAGCTTGCTTATGTTGTTTCAAACAATATCATGTTCACACATGTTTCCTGATTTCGTTGTTACCTTTGGTTTGGTTCAGTTCTGTTGTATGAAACTGTAAACATTTCTAAATGTTCATCATCTTATGTCTCCCATTAAAAGTTGTGCTTTGTCAGTATGTGTTATTGGGCACAATTTATTTTTCTTTGGTAACCAGGGATGATCCAAGCTTTTACCACCTGATTAACCCAAGCTTTTTCCACATGATTAATCTCTTTAGTGTGAGTGTAAGCGCCATCCAGTAGTTTACTCACCAGCTTTTCTAATGGGTCTAAAGCATGACAACATTTTGATACGTGATTAGAGTTTTATTGTTTTTGGTGATTTTCCATTAAATTGTTTTGAGGCTTTTCTTTTTAAATTTCGTTTGAGTGTTTTCCATTTTACATTAGAATTATGATAGGAATATGTCGTGACCTATATAAGGGGTTTCATGGTAATGAAAACTTCAACTTCCAAGAATTAACCTTAATCTCCAAGAGAGCTTGGGGTTCAGAGAAAGCTAGTTTTAAATCTTTTTGTTCTTTAGCTTAAGCTATTCAATTCTCTAAATCACTACGGCACCTGTTACTAGAAACACGTCAAAGGCTTTGGCTCATATCACATTTCGACTGACAAACGAAAAGTGATTACATAATTCTACGCTTGAGGGAAATTGATTTATAACCTAGACCTACATACAACTCCTCCGAAAATGGAAATTACCACTAGCCTTCTACTAGTTAGTAGACCATTAGAGAAAAAAGAGTTATTTCAACTCATAAGCTTTCATTCATTTCTGGATTGCTGGTTATTTGTACTAAACATGGTTAATCGACGTAGAAGCCTTTGAATCTCGTTGCCTCACCATTCTCGTTAGAACTACTCCTCTCCATGATCATCTTGCAGATGTTGATCTTAATGAGCTTCATCGCTTCCTTTCTAATCTCAATGCTCCTGTTCATCATCTCCTTATCAAGCAGGCTTGTGTAAGACCTCACGTACGAGGTTTTATGTTGGAGCGGACCCAGAGATTAATTTTACTTGGATCAATAATTTTTTTAAAAGAAATATTATATAATTTATTTTATATTACATAAATACTTTAAAAATTATTTTTATAAGTAACTAGAAAAGGTATATAAAACACTGTACATCAATATATATATATATATATATATATATATATATGATAAAAACATGTATTTTAAGTTAAAATGGTAAAAGAATAAGACTACGAATACCAAGTTGGATAGTCAAACTTGAGTTTGGGGTATTAAAACACATAGAATTACCAACTGAGCTATTAGTACTTTGAGATTTTTACATGCAAAAATAACTATTTGATTATCTTAGGCATGTCAACTGAGCCACCTTCTCTCTAAGTGGGTCTGCCCCTGGTTAGAGATATATGATCAAAACTACTAAACCCTCCCAGACCTTGCCTTGAGTTTGTTCTTGCCTTTTGATGGCCACATCTATCCTATTTGGTAACTTACTTTATTGGTCTTAGCATTTTGTTAGTTTATTTAGAAACTTATAAAAAAAGCTATTTTTAAAAAATTCATCATGCATGCTCTGAAGTTTTATGTGATTTTTCATCTTCTTGTCAAGCATTTTTGTTAATCCAATGTATTAATTACGAGAGGTTAATTTATACAAGCCTTCTTGGCTAACCTCAAGCAGGCTTCTGTAAATCCTCACGAGGTTCTTATGTTGGAAATTTATGATCAAAAGTCAAAACTACTTCTTTCCTGAACTCCCTCAAACCTTGCCTTTAGTTTGTTCTTGTCTTTTGATGGCCACATATACCAATAGGTAGCTTATTTTACGGGTCTTAGCATTTTGTTAGGTAATTTAGAAACTTATAAATATATATTGATAAAAATTAAAACAACCCGACCCGTTTTTTTTTTATTTTAAAATTTTTTAACTAATATCTCCAAATTGTTATAAACCATATGGATGGACTCCATAACCGGCCCACGACCCATTAGGGTTTTACCTTATTCTCTGTATCCTGCTATTATCCTTGTATATATATCCCCTTTTCTATTAATGAAAGACACATGCTCGGAAAAAAAAAAAAAAAAAAAAAACCCTAACCCTAAACTTCACGAGCCCTAGCCACCCAGCTAATAAAACCCGTCGCCGCCTTCGTCCGTTTTCCGATCTCATAATCTCTCTTTCACGTCGAGGTAAGTAACCTCGTACTTACAATCAGTCGGTTGTTAATGCTTTAATATCGATTGTTTATTTAATTATATCGTTATACGAGATCTGTTGATTAACGCTTGAATATCATTATGCGTCATTGGTTCATCTGAGTTTCACATAATATAGTTTATTGTCATTACTAAAAAGCATCTACGTTCCATCTTTTGGTCAATATAGTCATGCTGCATTATTTTATTCTCATAACGAAATAATATTTTATTTCACATGTTTGAGTCATAGATCGATTAATTCACATACATCTAGCATATTGAATTTATTATTTAATTCTATTCAGATGATACCGTTCGCACTTTATATACGTCTGTATAATTGATTCATCGTTAACTTATGTTTCTCTGTTATATACCATAAATCATTATAAAGAACCTGTTCGTTTAATGTTTTACCGTGACGTGATTGTTTATTATTTTGATATTTGTTTAACATCTGATTGCGTAAATTTGTTTTGATAAAAACTAAATTTATTTGTATAATTATATAATATATATATTTCAAAGTTTTATTATGTAAATCGTATTTAACCTAATACTGCACAGATTGAATATACTCCCACAAACGTTTATTAATTATTTAATCTATGATTTAGTTTGGTATATTAGATCCTCACGTTGTATTGAACTATAAAATATAGTTATTTGTTCTATATTGATTATTACTTTATATTAAGACTCATTTGTCAAACGTAATTGATTTGGCTGTATAAGAACTGTTTATGATAATTGACCAGAGACTAATTATAATAGTTGCATGATTCGTATTTTGTTTTATTATACGTTTGAGTCATAAACTGATTGAAACTTTTAAGTTTAGTATACTAAAATTATTATTTAATTCATCACGTCATTGCTATAAATTTAATTCATAATTGAATTATGCTTAACTGTTCTAAGACCGAATATTACATATAGTATTCCTTCTAATTATATTTGAGTATTGATCATTGTTAATTTGCCACTAAGAGTCGTAAGTCAATCGCTATTACTATTTACTTACGTATTAAAATTGTTTATAATAATCTGTGAATGGAAAGATGTTTAATGGCATGATAGATTGAATGTTTTAATATAAACCCTAAGTTAAACCGAAAGTAAACTGAAACCCTAAATCCTAGGTTAAACCGGTTTAATAAACCCTTAGTCATGGTTTAAGATCAACTTTCCCATAAATAGAAAGTTCCATATATGGAAAGTTTCCAGAAATAGAAAGTTTCGTAAAATAGCAAGTTTCCCAAAATAAAAGATTCCCTAAAATAGCAAGTTTCCCAAAATGGAAAGCTACCAAAATAGGAAATCCCTTCATAAGGAAATATTCCAAAACCCTAAAGTACACGTTTGTTTAGGATTTCTTTTTAGATGAGAAATAAAAATTTTCCATAAAAGGAAAGTTCCATATAAGGAAAGTTTCCATAAATAGAAAGTTCCATACATAAAACCGAAATCCTAGCAAAAACCCTACTACTATAAATCGCGGATGCTAAAACCCTAAAACTTAACCGCGAAATCCTAATATCCTAATCTAGTATGATCCGATTGTTTGGTTGTTGCATACTAGATCAATCTTCTAGGGTTGATTTCATCCATATATATATATAACATGATTGTTTAGAAAACACTTGCTGAAGACAAGCATGGCTCGGTCTCAAATACCGCATGACTTGGTCTAACCGATTACATGAGTTCTCATTTAACTCTATATATTATAGATATCAGAAATCAACTATTATGAATACACGGCACTCAATGCCTCTGGTGACAATTATTTAAAATGGGCTTTGGACACTAAGATTGTCCTAAAGGAAAAAGGACTTGGTGAATCTATTATAGAAGGAAACAATGTCACCAGAAGAGAAAGATATAAGGCGATTACTAACATACGCCATCACCTCAATGAGAGTCTCAAAATCAGTACCTCACTATTAAGAATCCTCTGGACCTCAGGACAGAGTTGAAAAAAAAAAAACGGTGCTATTACCCAAAAGCCCGATTCGATCGAAAGAATCTCAGATTCCAAGAATTCAAATCCATGAATGAGTATAACTCAGCACTATTTAAAATAGTGTCAATAGTGAGATTCCGTGGTGAGGAAATTACTGAGAATGACTTGCTAAAGAAAGCATTCTCGACCTTTCACACAAACAATATATTGCCTCAGCAACAATATCGTGAAAAAAAAAAAAAAAAAAGTTTTTACCACATATGCAAGTCTAAACTCTTGTTTTGCTACTTGCTGAGCAAAACAATGAATTATGAATAGTGAAATGAGACCTCCTGGTCCTACCCCATTATCAGAAGCCCATTGGGCTAAAGAGCCTAAAGAGACTAAAGAGTCTAACCACGTCCAAAGAGATAAGTATCATGGCAATTATAATTTATATGATCAAGGAAACCATTCATATGGTTAAGACCGCCGACCCGACTTTGGTCGTAATCGAGTTAGAGGCCGTGGTATACCCAAACCACAACACTCAAATAAACTTGTTTGCCACTGATGAGGAATGGGGAAACCATTGGACTAAGACGTGCATGACTCCTAAGCATCTCATTGATCTCTATCAAGAGAGTTTGAAAAGAATCTAGAAGCTCATTTCATCACAATGGTGAAGAAGATTTCGACCATGAGATAGATGACTATGAGACTTCGGAATGCCAACGAAATATCCAAAGACATGGTTGATTAGCCAAATTGCGGGTATAGCTAAATTTAGTGAAGGCTAAGGGCAGGCCCATGGCAGGCCCATATTCCCAAGGGCACGCATCCTCAGATGCTTCATATTCACCCAGCTCAAAGGGGCCTTGTTGAGTTTCAAAGAAAAGTGTTTGAATGGTTTCCACATTGAAACTAAGGGTGAAGGGAACAAAGGATTCCCATATATTACTAAGAGCACCCAAGACCATGAGA